ATCAGATGCGTCTGAATGTCATGAGAACACTTCTTCCTCTTATAAAAGGAAAAGCGTTGTAAAATCTATAGTTGGCTTATGCCTTCTGATAACTTATCCCTGCCAGTGGAGCTATGGGAGGCAGGCCACTGATACCCAGTAAACAATTATTGATTTTTGCTTAAAGTTTTGAAAAGGAAGAATTCAGTTGGATTTTTGCATGGAGAGAGAGGATGTTACCTGGGACCTAGTTTCAGAAGGAGGTTGCTGGCCGTACTGATAGTACAGTGAAAAGACCCAGCAGCATTGAAACATTTGTGAACTGGCTGGAATGGCTTTCTTGTAAATTGTAACCAGCTGCACCATCGTTTAGCAAAGCCTGCCAGAGCAGCTCCAGGGCCAAGTATTCCTGAAGCCCAGGAAGTTCACATATGGTGCTGTTTTCCCACTTACCTTATTAGTTTTCACCTAAGTGACCTGATTAAGCTCCTACTATATGTCTAGCATGATGCTTGGTGTTGTGGAGGATGCAGACGAAGTGGCCTAGTCCCCTGTCCCACAGGTACTTTATGCTCTGGTTGGGCAGATATGCCAGACACTTAACAAATTACACACACACACACACACACACACTTTCCATGCACTCTTTTTTTTTTTTTTAATAAAACAGGGTTTCACCGTGTTGGTCCGGCTGGTCTTGAACTCTTGACCTCAGGTGATCTGCCCGCCTTGGCCTCCAAAGTGCCTGGATTACAGGTGTGAGCCACCACGCCCGGCCTCCATGCACTCTTTAAGGAATTTAAGGAGCCAGGCGGATACATACAGCAAGGACCTTGGGATGCGTCTTTGGTATCTACCATGCACCACAGAGTGGCTGAGATGTGTACTCAGCTGTAACACATGCAGACTGAGGAAGGCCACATGGTTCCTGTGGTAGCTGAAAGGAATAGCACATTGCAAACTGGGGCATGAGGAAAGAGTGTGAGACCTGGGTGGTAGAATTTTCAAAGGAGAGGGATTTCTGGGCTGATTGATTCGAACCAGCAGAGGCACAAACGTACCATATGAAGAAAATGACAGGTAGACTGTTTTGATAAAGTCTGGACTCTGGATGAGGGCTGAGTCAGGATGGGCATGGTCTTTGAATGGCAGAGTGGGAACCATTGAAGGGTTCTGAGTAAGAGATTGACAGAACAGCGTGCAGAAGTAAGAGTGGGCAGTGGGGTGGGAGGGGCGTTAAGGAGAGACGCAGCAGTGAGGCAGGAGTGGAGGCAGTCTCATGGCTTGTGTGAGAACCTGACCTGCGTCCACTGGAGAGAGACTCGAGAGACTGGCTTGAGGGGCACCGTGAAGAAGATAATTACCAATGTCATCTGCCTTGGAAGATGAAGTTTTTTATATTCACCGGTCAACCTCTTATGTTTTACAGATCCGGCCAGTTATTGAACAAACCTTTCCTTTTTCTAAAGTTCCAGAAGCCTTCCTGAAGGTGGAAAGAGGACACGCACGAGGAAAGACTGTAATTAATGTTGTTTAAATAAATATGCAGTTTAGTGATTGCTGGCTTCCTTATTTGGTAAGTGCCTGTGTGCCCAAATTTTTTTCTATCCATCCCTTTCAAACATTTTTTTTCCAGATTAGATTATAAATTCCATGATACAAGCTTTAAAAAACAAACACACTATTTTGGTCAGTAATTAATACAAAAATATCTGCACTTGGACTTGTCTGTAGTCAATAACAATTCGATTGTTTTTTTCAAGCTGTTCTTTCACATGGGCTTTGCAGGTTCCTGTGGCACCTTCTATTTTACTAGCTCAAACGACTTTCTTGTCTCTTTTGAAATGGTCTCACTCTGTCACCCAGGCTGGAGTGCAGTGGCATGGTCACATGCAGCATCGACCTTAAGCAGTTCTTCTGTGTCAGCCTCCCAAGTAGCTAGGACTACAGGTGTGCACTACCACACCCACATAATTTTTTCGTATTTTTAGGTTTCGCCATGTTGCCCAGGCTGGTCTCAAACTCCTGGGCTTAAGTGATGTACCCACCTCAGTCTCCTAAAAGGCTGGGATTACAGGTGAGCCACCGTGCTGGGCCTGATTGTCTTAATGTTTGTACGGTACTAAAACTTAGTGTCTGGATGGATGTCGGCATGAAGAGGTAATTTAAAGCTGGTTCCTTCTTGAATTCATCACTGAGCACCTTTCTAACCAGCCAAGGTTTCCTTTTTTGTTCCTTCACCATAACGTGGTTACCACAGCACTTAAAGTTCTAAATCTCTTAGCGTCATATGTAAAAATCTGACTGGTGATTCATTTGTTTATGCTCTTAATATTGAAAGGTGAGGGCACAGTTTCTAACTTTTTAAAACGCTTACATCTTGCATAAGGGTTAGGCCTGTTTCAGCAATGGAAACATGCTTCTCCAAGGGCTTTTCCATGGAAATTGCAGCCATTCCAGTGGAACCCAAAGCTCGCCACTTTGATGTCAAATGTTTACATTTAGGTATCTCACCAGTCAACCCGTTGCAGTGTACGCTTTTGAATCTGTTCATTCATGGTAAGTGTTTTTACTTCCTAATATCCTCAGTACTGCACCTGAAACACTTGCTTTTAACTTTTGATGTAGACCTGTTTTGAGATTTCTGCTTGGTTTATTCCTGTTAGACACTCATTTGGTAGCATGTACATTAGATGTAAGCTTTTCTCTAGAATTGCTGGTCTGGCCTAACTACTGATTTATTTCAAAAGAAAAAAAAAATCTGATTTTCCAGGTGTAAATACCAGCTGCTCTTGACTTCCATCTGGAGCAGCCTCAGCTCTTGTCCTGGAGGGCTCCCAGGTGGTAGTGAAATACTTGAGCCAGGACCCCATTCATCGTCGTTTACCACTCTCAGAAACTATGGAGTTTGGAAACAGGGTGGTCAGCTGTTACACCAGCACCCCTCAAACCTGCTTCATCCTAATCAGGCAGTTGTTTCTAATCTGCCGGCTGACTCTGAAGGGTTAGATGAGGGCTACTGAATGCACTCTCAGATTACATCAACATAGTTAACCAGAAACAAGTTTATTTAAGAGATCAGTCAGCACAGGCTACTGTAGAATGTCCTACCCCACCGTATTGTAATGGTATGCACAATAAGGCCTAAAATTAGAGCTGTACACCTAGGAACGAGACAGACATGGTGGATGCTGTTGCACATGTGCGAATACTATTTCAAAACAAGATGAACTATTCTAATAACCATAACTGCCTACCATAGACTCCAGAGCTGATCAGCATTTTGGAATTAGAAACACACTTGAACAGATGGAAAGGAAACAAGTTGTTCTACTTGTGACAAGAGTACCAGTATTGAGTGATGAGGACAAAAAGAGGGAGAATATACTCAAGGAAATGCTTAGCGCTTTTGTTTGAAGCTAGAACCCACTGTTTTGAACAGCAGTATATGGGCCGGTGTCTTGTCGGCAGTCTGTTTGCATTCTTGAACTGCTTACTGCAGTTGAGGGTTCCAAGACTGCTTGAAGATTGATTTGATTCCAGTCAAATCATGAGTTCCAAGACTTGACCAGCAACATCCCTGAAGGTCTCTTTTCCTTCACTTTCTGGGGATAATTAATTGCTGGTCATCCTCTTGAGCCTTTCACACCCCATTTAGCAGCTACAATGACCTCAAGACCTGAGGCTGTCCACCAACAGCTGTAGCCTGAAGCATGGCTGTAGAACACTGTAGGGAAGGCAGCCCCATGCAGACCATGTGCAGATGCAGCTGGATAGGAGGGCCAGAAATGAGGCTAAAAAAAATCTGAGTTTAGCAAAAAAGTATGTAACATTGCTTGAGCACTTGTAGATGAGTAAGGATGGCTCATAAATGAGGTCATGATAGTGTTCCAGTAGTAGTTAAAAGAAAGGCATTAAACAACACTCATTTGTGATATTCTACAGCAGCCATGAATGAGCTAAAATAATCCAAATCCTGGCTGAGTACAGTGTCTTGGGCCTGTAATCCCAGCATATTGGGAGGCTGAGGCAAGTGGATTGCTTGGGCCCAGAAGTTTGAGGCCAGCCTAGGCAACATGGTGAAACCCCATCTCTATAAAAAATACAAAAATTGGCTGGGTGTGGTGGTGTGTGGCTGTAGTCCCAGCTGCTTGGAAGGCTGAGGTGGGAGGATCACCTGAGCCTAGGGAGGTAGAGGCCACAGTGAGCCGTGACTGTGCCACTGCACTCCAGCCTGGGTGACAATGAGACCTGTCTCAAAAATAACAAGTGTTATCAGACGTGGACATGAAGTTTTGTAAATGTATTGATTTTCAATATTAAGGAAGGTAGTATTTTGTTTGTACCTAGAGTTCCTTAAATGTCTGAATACCTAAGGTTTTCCCACTCTGCTATGCAGCATATTTAAAGGTTCCAGAAAGTGATTAGGGCCAAGAACCAAAACTACAGGCCGGATAAAGTCCTTCTTCTTAGATGCTAAACAGTTCCCTATCTTTCAAACTTAAGCCTTTATCTTATCCTTTAAAGTGTAAGGGCTTTTTGTAGGTCCACAAAGTTGGTAAATTTGTTCCAGTTCTCTCCTGTCACTATCTTTGGACATAATTTAAAATGTACACAGTCTTGAAGTCTTGATATAACATTTAAAAAAATCACCCAGAAGCTGCTAATTAGGCAACCTGTTTAAGCAGCCACCAAAAGTGAATGAAGGGCAAGAAATGAAAGGAGGACAAATTATTGTTTAAAGCTCTGATAGTCTTTTGAAGCGATGAGTAAGTTCTCTGAGTCATGGCAGCGTGATTTATGGTTGAATTTGGAATCAGTGAAGGAGGAGTCGATCCAGTTTCCAGTTGGCTCTTCCGTCAGCATTGTCCTTTTTAAAAAACGAGATGGCTGGAAGAACCTCCAGAAGATTTTCTTCCTTCTTTGTACAGGTTTATAGAACCATGGCTTCCCACACTTGTGTAAACTTCTCTTTGCTGACAGTGTTGAGGATAATGTGATTTTGATCATACTGTGTACCCCCTAAAAGAAAGGAACATAATAACAGATGAATGTGCCCATGGGGAAGGGTCTACAGCAAACACTATTTATCCCAACACCAGTACAGCAAAAGTAAACAAGGTATAGAACTGCATGCCTCAAGGAGGCAAAGCAGGGAGGGAAGCCTGAGCCCCTGTGGGATGAGAGGGTCAGCCTGCCAAGGGTGAATCTGTCCAAATCCCATCAGGGCACCAGCACCTTCACACAGGATATCCACCTCACAGGCTCCTTTTCCTACCCAGTTCTTAAGAGCTAGTCCACAGTCACTGTTACAGTGTCTGAAATTCAAGGGAACAGGGAAAACTCGAGAGAAGGGAAAAGGAGCAGAGAGACTAAGATATATTTGGCGGTGAGATGGTGGATTCAGACACCAGCTAGGAAAAAGTAGGCTGACCTGGCAGCGGTGGAAAGGCAAGAGGAATGGTTATTGAGGAAGAGCATTTGCATGAACAATGAAAATGGGCTGTATTAGGTCAAAGGAGAGGTTTGGATGACACCCAGAAGTACACAAAGGGGCAGGGTAGCATTCTCACTACTGGGCCTCAGCTGGTGGATAAAACTTCGTAGCATTTAAAATGCTGAGTGCCACTATATTGTAAAAGTATTATCATCAACTCTCTAACTCCCTTCTACCAGAATGTTTGTAAGATTTTCCAAAGGTGCTTACTGGATATTTCAGGTACTTTAGTGCTAAAATCAGCCTCATGGCTTCTTTCTTTGGAGAAGTATCATTAACAAAAGGGTTATCTGATTTTCTTTTTCCAGTGTGGAATAAAGATCCCTTCAGATGCCTTATCCTTTTTTAGCATAAGCCTCAGCACCAAGGATATATCAACGAAGATCCCATCAAAGTAAAAATCTGTGCATTTTGATACAGGGAGTGACTGGTATTGAAAGCATGCTTCCTCCTTGGACCAAGAAGAAATAAACATTCTTTTCTCTTTTGAAGCATTTACAAAACATGAAAAAGGTTTGAAAATTTACACAGTAGATCTAGGTATTACAGTTGAGGAAGGAAATCATTTCTTCTGCTCCTCTTGTAAGACACTGATTTATCATCATTGATAATCTACAGCCTCTGCACAGCTAGATGTACTATACAATACAAAGGTAAGGTGCTTTGAGCCTTCTTGTGTAAGTCTACAGGGGTAGGGAAAAAAATGTTGCCACTGCCAGCAAACCCTGCCCTCTGCCGAGACCAAGACACACACAGCATACTCCACTGAAATTTCAGGAAGTATTAAAGTCACAGTGTCTTCCTTTTTCATTCTTCAATATTATGTTAAAATACTTTTTGAATTTTAAGAGTCTCTTTTGTATTTTAAAAGTAACTTAAAATACTTTCATATAAATTCAACTAGAATCATGAAGACTATAAAGTTCTTGAGAAATAATTTGATTCATTCTCTTGCCTTTGGAAAGTATTTAAACTGTCCAGACTTCATGTTTTTTAAAATGAACATGAATCAGCTTCTACTGTTGTTACAAGGTGTGTGGTCTGGAGTAATACATGAATGTCTACCAAAAGAACTCAATCCCCAAACACAAGCAGATAAGCTAGATGTGTGATCTAATGACTCTTACGGCAATTTCAATAGATAGCAAATGGTTCAGTAGTAACAGCTAATGGAAAGCATGGTCTGCTAGTAAGTGCACCAACAAGGAGAGCAGTGTTTTCTATTTTCCTTTGCATGGATGTGGGGTGTGAGGCCCTGCTCTCTCATGTCCACAAGATGGCACCGTTCTCCCATAGGCTGAGAAGATTATATCGAGTTTAACAAGGAGTTAAGACTGTTGTAGCTACCATACTAGATACTGAGAGTTCACAAATTCACAGGACGTATCCTTACTCAACAGACACTTGAATAATTTATATAGTGTCATTTAGGAAGGGACTTTGGAACTTTAAAAAGAAGTCTTAAGAAACCTAGAGTCCCACAGTTCATGTCATAGCTAAGACAAGGAGTCAGGTGTCCCTCCTTCTGGTCCGCCGCTAATGTAGCAAGGCAGGGACATCCTGTGTACCTAGAGCATCTAGAACGTAAGCTGTCTGAAGCCAAGAAGGAGGCTTTTTTTTTCCCCACTCTGGTGCCCTCCGTGTCTGGCAGCAAGCCTGCCGCATAGCGCATACCCCATGAATACATGTTGAAAGAATAAAAAAAGAAAGCTCTAGCTAAGGATTAGTGTCCTTCATTCTGGACATAGGAAGCAGATCACATTTGTAAAAAACAGGAAAGTTTGCTCAGACTTCCTTTGGGAACTAAATATCCTACTTTTTCTAACATTGCCTCAAAAACTCCATTTTTTCCAATTTAGTCACATTTCTTTAGTGTCTGGAGATTTTGAAACTCTTGTAAACACTGAAGCACTCTAGTGCAAAAAAGCTTGTCAAAATTAGAATAAAGAAACATCTGCGTAATTCTTGACTAGTGTGAACCTCAGGCTGATCATCTATAAAATGGGTATTTTACCTGTCTACATATTGACAAATCTGTTGTACCAAATGTGATATGAGGGAGCTGTGGTGTTTGTTACTGTTTGGTTTCTGAATGTTGCATTTATTTTCTTATAGCCAAGGGTGCTGCTTGCATTTGATACGATCTTTGTGATCTCCATCTAGCCTGTAGTTGCAGTGCTTAATTTGGGCTCCCTAAGTGCCCCTTTAATGAAGGCAAAGGCATTGTTTGCCTGTGAACATCTTTTTAACTTCTCAGATTGTGTGTGATTCTAAGTCCACTGTTTTAAGTGGGTTGGCCAAGCTTCCTACCTGGAGATCATCTAGAAGTGACAGCCAGTTTCACTCCCCATACAGTTACCAAAGCCTGATGAAAATGTCCAGGCTCTTTCTCCATTATTTAGAAAAGTTGTTTTTTTAAAAATCAAATTACAGTGCTTTCTTTACTCCTGCATCTTAAACTCTAATGACAGCATTGGCCTAAATCCCCGATTAAAGTAAAATTGAGTCAATTTTTACTGATGATTTAAAATAGAGTATGTAATATACTCATAAAAAAAATTTAAAAGCATTAATGGAGTATGTCGTATGGTTACATTATCACTAGTTTGCTAAGTTTACAAAACATAATTGTGCTGACTTTCCTGATAGGGAATAAAAAATTGCCCATTAATTTAAAGCGGAATTACCCCAGATGATATGAATATAGCACACTGTCTGTGCCTGTCAGTAGCAACAGCACTAGTTCACTGAGTTCCCACACAGAGGTTAGGTCATTCTTACGTTGTTTTAAAATGACCATCAGTGGTTCTCCTGGTGTGGGCCTCAGACCAGCAGCATTGGCAACACCTGGGAACTTGTTAGAAAAGCAAAATCTCAGGCCCCACCCCAGACCCACAGACGCAGCCTCTGAGGATGTAGCCCCACAGTCTGGTTAAACCAGCCCTCCAGGTGATTCTGATGCAAATAAAGTTAAGGACCACCACACTAAATTTATTCGTCCCCAAGCACCATCAGTTCACTCCCTATTAACTTCATTGAACACAGGTTGCATTGAAATCCTCTAGGCTGTGTTAATTCCTTTGAGATCTTAGATCTTTTCAATGAAAAGTCACATGTGTATACATGAGAATCATCATCTCTACTGAACTAAGTGCAACCACAGCCCTTCAGCTTGTGATTTTCAGTCTAACATTATAATAATAATAAAATGGTTTGAAGTCACCCTATGGCCAGATTCTAGTTCAGCAGTTTCAGCTGTGAGATCGTGGCTAAATTGGTCAACCTCTTCGAATTTCAGGGGTTTTTCGTCTGTAAAACTGGGGAGAGAAGAGGAAGAGGGGGACAATGTAGACCTCATAGGGCGGCTAAGATGATTTCAGGAGGCCTGTGTTGAAAGTGGTTCGCACAGCAGCTGCCACATAGTAGGGCTCTTACTGTCACTACTAATAATATACTCAGCCTTTTCAAAAGTTATGAATGCATTTTTCCTTAACTAGAAGACACACACTTTACAGTAAAGAAAATAAAAGAAGTGACCCTTACCTTTGATATCTAAAACTAAATTTGGCTTCAACTTGCTATAAATCCTGCCATCGGACTTCAAGCTCCAGAACTGGCTGTCGGCATTCTGATCCAGGGCCAGGCCTAGTTTGGAGCCGGATGTTACCAGGCTGCCCACAATCGTCAGGCAGCAGTCTTCGGCTATCTGCTCAGTGGGAAAGACAAGAGAGCTTAAATATGCATCCAGTTCTAAGCCTCACAGCAATGGTTTATCTGGTTACACTGATCTTTAAAATTATCTTAGTTCCTCGCTACATTTACCCCACATGAGGCAGTTCAGCTCTTAGCCAACTAGAATCAGACACCAAATATTTATGCCCTATATTTAAAAATATACGCGAATGATGGAGAAATCTCAATTTTTGTGCATCATAAGAGGCTTCTGCCCTTTGCAAGAGAGCCTCAGAACATTAAAACTGCCCATGATGAGATTTTTCGGTCATAAGTGACCATGATCCCAGGCAGGGTCTGGTCTGTAGCTATATCGCCCTCTGACATCTCCAACTCTGCATGGCCTGACTTTCCAGTTTATGACTGCACCTCTAATTTTGTAGCACTGGGTGACTAAAGGGCATTTTTTTAACACTCAGAATTGCATTTATTAGCGTCTGTCTTCATGAGAATTACAATTTTCTAAACGGGCATGCTATCCAGCTATGAAAAAAGAAAAATGCAGACTCACTAGAGGGTGTTTTAACACAAAGATTTAAGAGCCCTTCCCTGAAGTGAATCTACCCTTAATATATAAATAATGTATGGCGGTCGTGTTCACATGCCATTAACAAATAGTACTGGCCAGGTGCAGTGGCTCACACCTGTAATTTCAACACTTTGGGAGGCCCTATCTCTGCAGAAAAGTTTTTAAAATTAGCCAGGTGTAGTGGCATACACTTGTGGGTCCCAACTACCCAGGAGGCTGAGATGAGAGGATCCCTTGAGCCCAGGAGGTTGAAGCTCCAGTGGACTGTGACTGCACCACTACACTCCAGACTAGCCAACAGAGCTAGACCCCATCTCAAACACAAAAACAAAACAAATGTTATAAAAATGCCCATTAAAAGTGTATTATTCTAGGCCAGGTGCAGCGGCTCACGCCTGTAATCCCAGCACTTTGGGAGGCTGAGGCAGGTGGATCACGAGATCAGGAAATCAAAACCATCCTGGCCAACATGGTGAAACCCCATCTCTACAAAAAATACAAAAAATCAGCTGGGCATGGTAGCATGCGCCTGTAATCCCAGCTACTTGGGAGGCTGAGTGAGGCAGGAGAAGCCCTTGAACCCAGGAGGTGAAGGTTGCAGTGAGCTGAGATACACCACTGCACTCCAGCCTGGGTGACAGTGGGACACCATCCCCCCCACCCCGCAAAAAAAGTGTATTATTCTATATTGATGTGATAATCTAGGAGACTTTCTCATTCATCACTGAAATGTCTGTTAGAAATAATTGCTGCAAGGTACCATTTTCTTGGATTGTTTAAGATAATTCAAAGGCAGAAAGCTTCTTTTCATGCTTCTTTCTATATAACAACTACTCTGTTTCTCCTGCTAGTTCTTCTATGCATGTCCAAACAGTCCTTCTGTTTACTGAAAGAATTTCCCCTCCAGCGCAACAGACCCAATGAACGAGTTGTACTCCTTTTCGCAAGGCTGTATTCCTTCTGCTGACTCATGGGGCGCCAGTTTTTTTTTTTTTTTTAAGAAAATCAGGAGCCAACAGTCAAGCCCATAACATCAGGAGTAAAAAAGTTTTATCTACCATAGAAGCATGAGCTTCTCTCATAAAATCTTACTACAGTCGGCTTTTAAGTGTTTGTTAATAGCAGGAATGATGCAGGAGGTAGATGGGCCCTTTTCCAGTTTACAAGGTGTGACACTTAGGAAATGGACCATATTGTACACAGAGGGATCTCTTTACCCTTCATCCTGTTCTGTGGATTTCCCCAAAACAGAAATAAACCAAGAATGATTTCTGTTGACAGGGCTGGAGCTTAGTTTATTTCTGTAACAGTTACATTAAGGAAAAAGGGAAGAATAACAAACACCTCTTTTTTCTATTACTATCCAAAAATCATAGAAATAACTACTCTATCTTGGATCAGCGCTATATTAACCTTTCATTTTAAGTTTCTAGACTGGTTCTATCACAGCTAGGAGATATACTGTCATGAAAAAAAACAAAAACTTAAATTTATTTCAGAAAGTACTCCAGGTATCGTGAAATTGCATCTACTTGAAGAAAAGATCAAAAGCATATGAAAGGATGAGTCAGCTGCTGGCAAAGGCATCCCAGGCCCCCGTGGAATCCTAAAGCTCACCCTGCATTTGATGCATCCTTCTTGATAGATCCAAATCTGATCATCGGCACCGACGTCCTCCATGACCTGTATCCTCAGAAGCTTCAGATCCTCTAAGTTTCCATTGGTTGACATGAATAACCCTGTTGCTTTGTTTCGAAGTCTGAAATAAATTCGCTTCTAAAAGACAAACCCAGCAGTTGCCATATAAGATGTGCTGCTCGAAGCACTGAACAAGCATTAGTATCAGGAAGAATCCAAAGTGAGATATGGACTAAGGGTAATTACTATACCCAAGAGTCTCAGAGGTTTTAGATTTTCTCAATGAGAAGAGTCTGACAAATGTTGAAGAGCCTGAGGCAGGTGCCTGCCTGTGGATAACTGCGTTTGATGTTCAGTTTGATGGCATTCTGAAGCAGCCACACCTCTGAGCACCAGAAACGGAGCCCAGATTATTGGGGTGGGGAAGGAGTTTATGGGGTGAGGCCAATTATAAACTTTGAAATTAAAATGTTGGATTGCATTTACAAAAAAAATTTCAGAGAATCCTATACAGAGCAGGAAAGTCTATACATCTAAAAAATTAGATTGCATTTACAAAAAAATTTCAGAGAAGAGTTTATACAGAGCATGGAGAAGAGGAAAATACCTGAACAAAAGGTCGTAGAGAACCTATTTGGCGACAGCCACTGAATTCATACCAATTAGGTACTTCTGCGGGTGACAACAGGAACTGTCGCCCTCTGTAATTGCCATATTCATAAGTAACCCATCTGAAAACAAAAAAGTAAATAACCACAGTAAGTGGCAATTTTCATTTGACAGTGGACCCCAATTACATGTATTTTTAGAATGCTTTTCATTTCCAGACTGAACTGTATACTTTTAACATACATTGGGGGAAAAATGAAGATCTTTTCTAGAACACTTAAGTAATTTCTTGACTAATAGCAAAATGCCAAAAAGTTCCATTCTTGAAATAGATACTTTTTTCCTTCATGAAGCAATGAAATATGGCCTTTTAGTGGCTTCCTCAGTTCTGCCTGGGAGCTATTCATAAAATAGCTTCAGTTGTAATGATGGATCTTTAAGTTGTATAAGTAGTTAATATTTCCAAAGCTCTTAGTAGGTGCTAAATAGGGTTAAATAAAATAAGTTTTCTCTGCAATGAGAGTAATCTTTGTTAAATCTAAAAAACTGCTCAGATACTCGGTTCGCTTCTGCTCAGGTGCTGCTGCTGCACACCTGAGGATGTACGGTTCTGAGCGCAGACTGGCATGGAGGCAGCCCGGCGCCCTCCTCCCTTGCTAATATATGACATCAAGGAAGAATGCACTCTACTTTTAATCCTGGAACTTTAATCCTGGATAAAATGTTTATCATTTTAGTCATCTTATCATAAGAACAAAATATTAAAACCTGCTGCCAAAAAAAAAAAAAAATCACCTATAATTCTACCACCCTAATAGACTATGATTTTTTTCCCAGATAGGTCTCACTCTGTTGCCCAGGCTGAAGGGCAGTGGCATGATCATAGCTTACTGCAGCCTCAACCTCCCACGCTCAAGTGATCTCCCACCTCAGACTCCTGAGTAGCTGGGCTACAGGTGCGCCACCGCAGCCGGCTATTTTTTGTGTTTTTGGTAGGGGGTGGTTTCAACATATTGTCCAGGTTTGTCAGGAACTGCTGGGCTCCAGCAATATGCCCGCCTCAATGACCCAAAATGCTAGGGTTACAGGCGTGAATCACTGCACTCAGCTTCTGTGATTTATTATTATTTTTTAGATGGAGTTTTGCTCTTGTTGCCCAGGCTGGAGTGCCGTGGTGTGATCTCAGCTCACTGCAACCTCCACCTCCTGGATTCAAACGGTTCTCCTGCCTCAGTCTCCTGAGTAGCTGGGATTACAGGTATCTGCTACCACACCCGGCTAATTTTTGTATTTTTAGTAGAGATGGGGTTTTACCATGTTGGTCAGGCTGGTCTTGAACTCCTGACCTCAGGTAATCCAACCACCTTGGTCTCCCAAAGTGCTGGGATTACAATCGTGAGCCAGTGTGCCCGGCCTGATTCTTTTTTAAACAGATGTAGTCCCCCCAACATCTGATGTACACAGGTAGACCATACCTATTGTTTTCATGAATAAAAGAAAAATACTTTCTTAAAAACATGTATTACAGGCTGGGCTCCGTGGCTCACACCTGTAATCCCAACACTTTGGGAGGCTGAGGTGGGTGGATTACGAGGTCAAGTGATCGAGACCATCCTGGCCAACATGGTGAAACCCTGTCTCTACTAAAAATGCAAAAATTAGCCGGGCATGGTGATACATGCCTGTAGCCCCAGCTACTTGGGAGGTTGAGGCAGGAGAATCGCTTTGAACCAGGGAGCCGGAGGTTGCAGTGAGATGAAATTGTGCCACTGCACTCCAGCCTGGTGACAGAGCAAGAATCCACCTCAAAAAAAAAACAAAACAAAAAAACCATGTATTACATTGATGGTACTCATTCATTTTTATATCTTATTCAAAAAATATTCAAAGTTGAGAGAAAAAAATCTTTCCAGGTTGACCTTTAATCATTTTGTATAACATCTGCCAGTCATTTCCAGCTAAAGAAAATCTCAACCCTGAGCTCCAAAATCAGAGGACTTGCTCTTTTTTAATGAGATAAGAAAAGTCGTCTCTCTTATTTGCTAGACTTTGAGAGGTGTTAAAGACAAAGTCCTTACCTTAAATAAACTAAAAATCTGGATAATGAAATAAAAGATGCTTTACACATGACTTTTCCCAGTGGAAAATGTTCTACCAACTTGCATAATTAGCAGCCCTTACAGAAAGACAGACGGTATATGTCAGTTAGTTTAAGATAATGTAAGAAAGAGAAAACGGATCAAACTTTTTTTTTTTTAAGATAGGGTCTTGCTGTGTTACCCAGGCTGAGGACAGTGGTGTGAACACAGCTCACTGCTGCCTCAACCTACTGTGCTCAAGCAGGTGGGACCACAGGCATGTGCCACCACACCTGGCTAATTTTTAAGTTTTTGGTAGAGATGGGGTCTCACTTTGCTGCCCAGGCTTTTCTCAAATTCCTGAATTCAAATGATCCTTCCACCCAGGCCTCCCAAGTGTTGGGATTACAGGCATGAGCCATTGTGCCCAGCCCAAACTTGATTGTTAAAATGATCTATGTTATTGAATCAACAAGTAGGTAACTCACATGCCACCAATAACCTGAACAGAGCGTATTTGCGTGTTGAATCCCAAGGATCGGAGATTAACAGTTTCTGCATTAAGTTCAATCTTTTTTCCTTTGAAGTCTTCTCTTTCAAAGAGAATAATTGTTGGTTCAGAAAATTCCTGTTGAGGAACAAAAACAATGTTCTGTTATTCATCTTTGTTAATAATTCAAACTTATGTGAAAATCATCCTGTTGCAAGGACAGAGCACAAAAAATCTGCCAGATTTGGCCTTTCCATAAACGCCCTTTCCCAGCGATCCTAAGTGTTTATATACTCCAAGCTAGAGAGAAAGCACAGAGGGCAGTTAGTTTTTCCATTGCATAGGAAGGCAGGTAAATAGAAATAGTCTGTAAAGCCAGGGAAAAAAAGTTCCAGGCACAGAGAAATGGGTATATGCTGGGAATATCAGCAGTTCTGATGGCATTTCTTTTTGACTTAGCTGTTTTAATTGGGACAGGGAAGTCGTGGACATAAATGCTGAGGGTCAGAGGGCTGTGGCAGTCTGATGTTTAGTCGCTTACTGATACAGTGGTATTGCCTAATCAAGGAACCTTCCTCTTGTATGTATTTTCAAATGTCTTTTTTCTTTTCTGTTCATCAATAAGACAATGATTCTGTATACTCATGCTCCCAAACTTTTGTGTAGGAATCACTGTCAGGAGGAGAGAAAAAAACAACAGGATGGAAGCCCTATGTTCAAACTGTCAATCATTTCAAAGAACAGCAGCACAAACGTTCACTGATTTTCAGCAAAATGAAAAGTTGGCAGCTTATGCCTGTTTTTTCAAATTATAGACACTTTTGACCCTACATTAATCTCTAATGATAATACTGCTAAGATCATAAATGATGCATCAAAAAAGCATGTGGGAGGCCAGGCGCTGTGGCTCATGCCTGTCATCCCAGCACTTTGGGAGGCCAAGACGGGTGGATCACTTGAGGTCAGGAGTTTGAGATCAGCCTAGTCGACAGGGGGAAACCCTGTCTCTACTAAAAATAAAAAAAAAAAAGGCCAGGCGTGGTGGTGCATGCTTGTAATCCCAGCCACTTGGGAGGCTGTTGGGAGGCTGAGTAAGACTAGAGGATCACTTGAACCCGGGAGGTAGAGGTTGCAGTGAGTTGAGATTGTGCCACTGCACTCCAGCCTGGGTAACAGGGTGAGACTCCATTTCAAAAAAAAAAAAAAAAAAAAAAAAGCCTGTGGGGATTACAGTTTTTTCCCTATCCTGCTTAAAGCTGTGGAAAGGGTGCTGTACCTTACTGCTTCATTTATGTGGATGTTCCCTGACTTGTAAAAAAGATTTTGTCCATCAGTAAACAGAGCATGTTAGTGTGAGGAGGTAGTGTGTATGGTCTAGGAATTAGCTTACATAAAACATACAAGGAAGAAAGAAGACAAAAATTATAGCAGTATTACTATTTTGCACTTTGATTGCACTTTTAAGATGGCATGCCCAAAAATGTTTAAACACTTAAGTTTAGTATTAAAAAGCAGCTAAATACTTTTGAAATGTTGTCACAACGATATGTAGTCTTCATATGGGTAAAACATTCATTTCTTGACAATTAAAACATAAAAAGATGTCATCTATAGCCTCAGAGTGATGTGAGCGTATATGCCAAGTTCTGGTTGAGGGAACAC